GAAGTCACCATTTGCAGAGGGGCTTTATAAAGTCTCAATTATCTTCCCTTTTTTGCGAACTCAATTCTATTCAGTGTGTCATCAATATTTTCTTTGCTCTTGACCATAATTGGTTATAAGATACCCTTTTACAAGGTGCATATGTGGTGATATATATTAAATGCATATGTTCAGTCATAAAGGAGAGGGCAATATTCTTTGATAATTGAACTTTTCTTTGTCAGTCACAGAAGAGTGAGACATCCTATAATGTTCTTAGTTCACCATAAATTTTTAAGCCAAATCATCCATTCACTTCAAAGAACTCTTAGTGCGGCATCAAATTTACCTGATCAAATTCTTAGAATGATTCATCAAGTTTGCTTTGAGTTACTTAAGCTTAGTTGAGGTTAGCTAATTATACTAGAACCGAATTTAATTCCATTTCAATGTAACATAATTTCTTGAGTCTAAATTCAACTCATGAAAATTACTCAAAATATTTTGATCTATATTGCTTCCACATGAACTACAAAATTTCTCAATAAATTGTGGTTAACTTTTGAGTTAGTCCTAACAAACTCAAATTAAGTCTTTGGCATGACTAAACAATTCTTGTCCAATCTTAATTATGTTTTAAATTGACTTGATTTCACTTTCAGGCATTCAAACTATTTTGACCTATAATTGATGCAACCTACAGCCAATTTGTGCATAGTATTTTTTTTTGCATAGATTTGGTTCAACTTTAATTTATTAAATTCATATAAAATTTTGATTTTTTAACATGGTTTCGTTAAATGACCTGGCATAGTTCATCCTGCTCTACCTGTTCATAGCACCTCGCTATAGCTACATAATGCATGGAAAGGTTCTGCTATATCGCTTTAGGAGCCTGCAATTGCATTGTATGTCGTATCTTTACTCCTTAGCTTCTGCTGCATGTAAAAGCATTGGAGCCTGCAATTGCATTGTATGTCGTATCTTTACTCAGCTTCTGCTGCATGTAAAAGCATTGAAAAGCAAGAACCAGCCACTATAAGTGAGGTGAAATAGGGTATTGTGTGGGCTTCTCATTTAGGGACGATTTTCCATGACAACATGAGCTAGGTATCCTTCCAAGTAGCCTTCTTTCTTATTGTGACTACTTATTTCTTGTATGGGACCGTCTCTCATAGCCACAATGCCTCATAACTCTGTCATAAGCAACACTTTCTCATAGCCTACTTCTCCAGACGGCATCTTCTTGTCCCATAAAAAAACATGATGGTTCATGATGCCTTTTACTTTAATATCCTTTTATCGCCTCCCTTACATATCATGCATCCTTTCTCTATTACTATAGCTATTACCACTTCCCTTAGGTACTTGAAATGGCTTGAAGCCATTATCCCCATGAGGAACAATTTTTGCAACCATGTTTCCACTTGAGCTACCTCTATTTTTCTTCACTCTCGCATTCCTCTTGTGACACTCGCATTTTTAAGCACACTAGCTCCTTCCATTATAGCCATGCATGTTATGCCTACTTATACATATGTTATCTGAATGTAATTAATAATAATTTCAGTCAGCTTATAATATTTTGTGATCTATTATATTTTCTATTAATATTTCTATTACTCTCCTAATGATTAGATCACTTTTGCTCAAATCATGCCGATATATGCTTTAAGATAACAGTGGGTGTCACACCTTTTGCCACATTGCTTGTATGATACCCATTGTCTAATTGCACATAAACATTGTGTCTATTTTGTAATATGCGCTTATTTTTTTTATCTGTACACAATTTTCTACTTCCAATGCATAGCCTAACTTTATTGAAATGAACTTGAATGCGTTTCTTCACATTGATGTTGCTGAGAGCCACTACTCACCACTATCAACCTCTGCCTACTACCCCCAGTTGGTTACTGCCACTGTTCACGCAGAGCATTGGCCCTTGTTGACGCGTCATCCCATTGTTGATGGCCATTGGTCATCGTCTGCTGCCTTCTGTAGCTGTCGCCATCTACCAAATTTTATATTGATTTCATTTTATTTAAAATTAAAAAAATAAATTCTTGTATTTAGTTTGTACCTAATCTAATAACTCTTAAATATTTTAAATACACTATGTTTTAATTTTACCACATTTCTTTTTCAGTAAACCAACTAGCCCCTTAATATCAAATGTAACTAACCGCTACAAAGATGTGAGTTGGTCATTGAAAAGACTATATGTAGTTACATTGTTTTCTTATTTGATGCAAGGGTTCAAATGAGAGCTTTTCTTTGTTGTAGTTGAAAGCTTCTCATCTTGCTGAACCAAAAGTAATGACACCTCTTCTTACTTGAAGAATCTGAAGATTCACCTAGAAGTACACTAGAAAGCTCCTCTCTCTTTCTTTTTTGATGCCACCCCTCTCCTCCCTCTCTTTCATCTATTTTGTTTTCTTGTTATGGTAGGATACTAAGCCCCTCCCCTTTAGTCTCTATTTATAATGATAAACAATAACTTAAAATTTATTCAAAAGATCTCTTCAAAGATTACAAGATCTTCATAGCTTACTAAAACTATCACAATATAAAAAAGGATCACATAATCTTCCTGGCTCTTAAGAAATATTAGTTAAATATTTGTATTAATTGGAAGAATTCAACTATATTTTATGAGAATATAAATTAAGAAAAGTTTTGGCTTCACACATTTTTCAAATGATCTGGATATTTTATTTACTTTCATTTTTATATATTTTTTAGAAGCCTTATTTATCATATATTATGTGTCATATGTTCATAAATTTGGTTTGTGTGTGGTCACATGATATATTCAAATAATTTGTGGTGCTTGATTCCCAATAAAGACTTTTTCTTTATTGAAATTTCTTTTCTTTGTTCGACCTCCATGCTATTATGATGGTTTTGGAGTGGAGTTTCCCTGCCTAAAAAAGTTATAGGAAATGTTATGATCTTCTGGAATATAACAGGGATGTTCCAATAAAATATCATGCGGATAAATATATTATTTTCTTTTTTTGGTCAGCATTTTACGACTTGAAGGATGCGATCTCCAATAACCTTAGCAATATTGTGATATTTGTGGGGTTTTGGATGTAGGAAGATTTTTTTCTAAACAGAATAAATTTTGGTTCGTGTTTTTTTTCTCTCGTGATTTCTCTTTCATTTTCATTTCCAGCAAAACAATACTCTTCAAATCTTGATATAGTTTGCATCTTGATGGTCAATTGGATCACTTGGAATTTCTTATGAGTTTGTTCCCTTAGGTTCTATTTGGTAAGTATGAAGATGAAATGCTTTTGTTGTGCTGTGTTATACCTTTACAAATAAATTTGAGCTGTCATCATGATTCCCATGCTGTTTTTCTCATCATTTCTTAGGTCCTAATGATGTTCGTGTGCGCATGAAAGCTGTTGGCATTTGTGGCACTGATGTCCATTACCTGAAGGTGAAAATTTTAGTCTTTCTCCAATTTTGTTTTCTCATTTTTCAATCCCAAATTTTCGAAGTTTCTATAGTCTCGTTTATATTTTTTATAAGTTAGCATATATGCTTAACATATGAATCAAATATGATTTATTTGACATCATTTCTGCTTAATCATAGACTATGAGGATGACTCATTATGTTGTCAAAGAACCTATGGTGATTGGACATGAGTGTGCTGGAATTATTGAAGAGTTGGGAAGTGAAGTGAAATCTCTTGCTGTGGGTGACCGTGTTGCCATAGAACCTGGAATGACCTGTGGCCGCTGCAAGTATTGCAGGGCTGGGCGCTACAATCTATGTGATGACACAAAGTCTTTAGGCCTTCCACCAGTTCATGGCTCTCTTGCTAATCAGGTTATCGACCATTGATGATCCTATAAGCTGTTTAGCTCTTCAAATCTACAGTTTTTATTTTTTATTTTTTATTTTTATTTTGTTTTTTGTTGAACGAAAAGCTTCTTTGGGCTTTTTGGATGAACTGCAATCACTGAAAAACCAAAGTTGTTCTTTTTTTTTTAATTTTTTTAAATAGTAAATAATTGATATTAAATATACTTTTTTTTTATCTGGCAGGCAATTGTACTTTTTTCTTATTTTATAGTGTCAATTGTGTTTTAACATTAAAACTTAGTTCAAATATGCCATTTACAGCTGGTGCATCCTGCTGATCTTTGCTTCAAGCTTCCTGACAATGTGAACTTGGAGGAAGGGGCCATGTGTGAGCCCCTTAGTGTTGGTGTACATGCTTGCAGGAGAGCTGGCATTAATCCAGAGACAACTGTGCTCATTGTTGGGGCTGGAACTATAGGATTAGTCACGATGTTTACCGCACGTGCCTTTGGATCCCCAAGAATTGTTATAGCTGATGTTGATGAACAGCGCCTTTCAATTGCGAAATCTCTTGGTGCAGATGAATTCGTCAAGGTTTCTCCAGATATTAAGGTTTGAATTGCTTTCCTGTTTTATTTTGTTCAAATGTCAAAATTTCTTCAGATATTAATGTTTGAATTATTTTCCTGTTTTATTTTGTTCAAATGCCATGTTTCTTTGGGTTGTTTACATGAATATGAGACTGTAAACATGGGACAGGCTAAAGTTTCAAAAAATGTAGTTATGGTAAAAAAGAGTTTTGAAGTAAACTTATCATTTAAAGATTTTTTTTTTTTTTTGGCATAATTTATGGGGATCTGAGACCGGCACCATTGGACACAATATGATGCTCTTCTTCTACCCCCAACAACTCCCTTTGTATGAGTAAATGATATTCAATGATGGATTGCTAGAAAATACAAAATAGAAATACACTGTTGATTTAAGTGTATTGCTTCATTAATAGACTAATCTCATTAAAAAATTAAAGAAGAGATTCAATAGAAGCTTATGTACATACTATATTAATGATGTCTTTTTTGTAGGAGTGAGGATGAATAAAATTTTATGAATGGAAATGAATGTTAAAAAATCAAGACCTGCTATAAAGGAAGCAATATTAAAAATTGTAAAGAGGACTTATATGTGAACAAAACATATTACATAGATTACTCTCACAAATAAATAATTATTTAGCTTTATGATCAAAATGATTAAAGAACACAACCAGTAGTAATGTTCAGGATCAAAATGATTCTCAGAATAATTAAATATAGATATAGATGATTTCATTTAACGAGCAATATGATGAAGCTACATAAGAAGATAGTGATACCAAAAGAAGAGTAATGTAAAACTAAAGCAAACAAATTTAATTATTACTACAAGAACTATGAGATGCTGTTTACACTTAGGCAGTGATATTGAAATAAAGCAATTATTGACAAAATTTCATATATTGAGTTTGAAAATGTTTAAGATTAAGTCTTATGGAGTTGATTTTGTGGTTATTATGAAGAGCATGTATACATCCAAATGTATAATTAAGTTATCAAGGATATGTACATGATAATTTTGTGAGGTAGTTGTAATAGGTGGAATAGTTTCTAATCACATTAAAGTTATGTTCATTCGCTATGGGGCATTATCTTTGTTTTGATGATGGGGTTGCTAACAACAAAGATTGAAATTAAAGTGTCTTTATATTATTTTTTATGCCAATATAAATGAACATAACGGAACAACTTTAGGAAAAAAAGAGGATTAGGTTTATTGAAAAGAAATTTACATACATGCCACAAAATTCATAACACGTAAATCTTCAATATCACGTCAAAAGTTCAACTTTTTCTATCTTTTTATAAGTCAGATGTACCTTTTCATGCAAAGGTTAAATGTAAATATCTAAATATCAAACTATCAAACTTTAGGTGTTAGATATGTAAATCTATAAGAATTGTGTGGTATGTAAGTCAGTTTCCCTAATAAAAATAATAACTTTTACATCTTTCTACTTTGCTTGATTGCTCATCTGTCTAGGTGTGAAACATCATATTGAAGTCAACTCTAATATATATGGAATCGATTTGTAAACCACCCATCTATCTATGTCTGATTTGTCTTTGTCAGCCCTACATAAAGTCAAATGCTGGTGTCACCTAAATTCTTGCTTGTTAGTTGATGGTCATAGCTTTATGGTTTGATAATAAATTGGTGCTTTTGATGAATCAATCAACGATGATCAAATTGTGCTTCTAGTTTACTTGTAAGGAGATCTGTGGTTGTTTTCCCACTTTAATTATGGAACCATTAGGTCCATCAATAGTTCGATTGTCCTCTAATTCTGCATCTCACAACCTAGTAGGTGTGGCACCAACTGTCACTTGTTTTCCCACTTTAATTATGGAACCATTAGGTCCCACAATAGTTCGATTGTCCTCTAATTCTGCATCTTCACAACCTAGTAGGTGTGGCACCAACTGTCAAAGTTACTAAATATTTCTTAGGTTCTGTCCATCTAAATTGAACCTTGGACTATTGATGCATCTTTTGGACTCCTAAGAGCTCTATATATCTTAATCAATGGGCTCCATTTAAGAGGTCATTTTGTAGCATTATAATTGCTCCATATAAGGGGTTATTCGGTTTGAAGCCCTTCTATTTGTTTCATGTAGGCTACTTATTGGTCTGTCATATTTCTTCCCACATCAATTTGCTAGTTTCTCTAATCATCCCAGTTTTTTATGATTGTCAATCATTCTAATCACTCACCATTTTCTCTTAATACTCTTATTTTATGGTTGGTTCTTCGTTAGTTTATTCTCTACCATTGTTGCTCTCTCTACTATGCCTTCACAATTTTTGATGTTGAATGAAACCAACTGCTTGTAGTTAAAATTCCATAAGCCCTTTTAGTGAACTTTTTTTGGTGAGTCCTTTTTATCCTTACACTTGATGCACTCTCCTTCTATCGTATTCTCTTCATACACTATTTATTTTATCCACATTCCTTTATTTATAGGGATCACTTTATCACATTATCTATCTACATGGATTGACATGCCAAAGCATAGCCTAAAACATGACTGGGATCAACTTGTTAAGCCTGACATTATCGGGTATGGGAGCCGGTTTCTTGGTGGATTTTTGTTTGGCATTATGCCAACCCGATCATTTGAGTCATGCTTGTCAGCTAAGTCTTGATGGGGCGAAATTAGCGGGTCATCTTGCCCGCAGAAGGTTAGCCGGCCCAACAGGCCCAACCAATCAACTGTGCCTATTAGGTGCTTAACTAATGACACGGTTTTTCAGCTATGCTAATCAATCTATAATCTATACTTGTTGGGCTAAAGCCCAGGTTGGCAAGAAAAATTCCAACTAAAATATTTACCAAAGATAAGATATGGTTGTTAGTATGTATATGAGTCAACATTATACTCAAAATAACATATTTTTTCATGATGTTTTTATTTCTTTGCTAGCTCATCACGAAAGATAGGATATGATAGTAAATTTCATACATTTTCGCAATTGCAGGATGTAGATGAGGAAGTTGAGCTGATAAAAAAAGCTATGGGTTGTGATATTGATGTGACTTTCGATTGTGCTGGCTTTAGCAAAACCATGTCCACTGCTCTGAATGCTACTCGCACGGCCGGCAAGATTTGTCTTGTGGGCATGGGCCACAATGAGCTGACCATTCCTATAACTCCTGCTGTCGCAGCAAGGTAAACTTATTTTCAACCTAGTTCCTTTCGTTATTTATTTTTGGTGCGTTTGCATACATTCCACCCAATTCTATAATTTAAATTTCATACACCTAATCTATACTTTTTACATTTATATCACCCAAATCATTCGTATCACATCAAAAATTATCTTTGCATGCATAGTTAAATCCTCCAATTTTTTGTAACTCATATATGCTCATCCTTTCCTACACAGAGAAGTTGATATTATCGGCGCGTTCCGCTACAAAGAAACTTGGCCCCTATGCATTGAACTAATAAGGTCTGGGAAAATTGATGTGAAGCCTTTGATAACTCACCGATTTGGGTTTTCTCAGAAGGAGGTCGACGAAGCGTTCAAAGTTAGCGCGCGTGGGGGCAATGCAATTAAGGTCATGTTCAACCTCTAGCACGTACATATTTTGCTCCAGGCTTGTGGTTTGTGATAATAACAAATCATGCTATGTATGTGATCATTTCATGTAGGAATGCTTCATGAATAAGGCTGTTGTTGAATGAAATGCTTTTAGTTAAATAAAATATCATGTCATGATTTTGGTTGTGTTTGGTTATTTTTTATTCTACTTGATTTTGGTTGTGTTTGGTTTTTTTTTTTTTTTTCTATTTTTTTATTCTACTGTTTTGTCCTTCTTTTATTTTGTTTATTAACATAAAATAATATGTATATTTAAATGCATTGTAAGATAGTGATGACAATCTATATGAAAACAAGATGAGATGGTGGTCTGGTGGTCGTGTAGTGTTTTCTACAACAAAATATTTCGTAATTGACGCTCGTCAATAATTTAAAAAAAAACTATGTGAAAGCTCTCTACGGATTATGGATTTTTGTTTTCATAATCAAATTTAGAGCACAGATAAAATGGAAATTTAAATATACACACCATCCAATTTAAATGTATCAACAGGCTAACACTTAAAATTTAATATTTATATTTATGACACATCTGTGTGTCATAACTTATGTATAAAAAGTTGTATCTCTTGAAAATGATCATAATTGACATATATTTGATGTGAAATTAAAGATTTAAGTGTTATATATATTAAATAACAAAATTTAGGTGTTAGGTATGCAAATACTTAAGAATTTTCTGTTATGTATGTAAAAGCCCCTAAACAAAAAATTTTCAAAAATATTTAGTTTTTTTGTAGTGAGGATGTGGGACAATGATGAATGAACAGTTAAATTGTCGGCAACAAATGCGATCAATGGAAGACTTGCAAGCCCAAGGTTCTGAATGGCCAGATGAGAAGAGGATATAAAGATAAGAGTATTCCTACACACAAAAATAACAAAATAACTATTGACATTTTTGGGTGAATTTCATCACTTTTTTTGAAAGGAATTTTTATGAATTTATAATATGATGAGTTTATTTATTTATTTATTTATTTATTTGTATATCTTTTTTTAGAACTATGACATTTATTTTCAGAAAGAAGTGGAAAAACACAAACAAGCATTATGTTCTTACATTGTGTCATTCATGTTTGGGCCTTTTGTTGGCCCCATTACACTTATGATTCAGGACACATTTTTAAATGCATCTTGAACATACATAACACTTTTCATCTAATCACCACCTAGCATTGATCCTACCACCCTTTCCCCTTATACCTACATAGACATTTTTTCTTCCTGGGCATAGTGAGCTTTCAAACCAAGTACCTTAGGATTCTTCACTTTGTTTTTCTGACCAATATATTACACATTCGAGCACTAATAGGCTCTATTGTGATTTAAATCCCAACAACATAAAATCATACAAATATTGATCACAAACTCCACTTATAATATCACCTCTTGTCCCACTCAACCTACACTCCTCACACGCCTCTTCAATCACATAAACATTGCACTACTTGCTCTGAGTTCATCCTTGATCCACATGAAACCTCATCACAACAATATTCCCTCAATCTCGATCCTCCAATGAGAGAAATTATCAGGCATGGATGATGGATATATTGTTGCATCCAACTTAAATTCGATAATTTATCTTCTTATCAGGCATGGATGATGGATATATTGTTGCATCCACCATCTAGTATAAACATTACAATTGTATGATAGCTTAAATATAAGAATATTTTTATGCTTATATACACTTGCAAATTTTTTGTATGATGAGGAATGCAACTAATATCTAACATTCACACCAAATAATCTTTTCTAATATACTACTCAGCAAGCACAATCATACCATAACCTTCATTATGTCTACTTGTTTCAATGCTATTATGTATGCAACTTTATAATCATTAGCATTTTCTTTATAATTTATAGTCATCAGACAAGTTTTTATTATAGAACCACAAATAGTAATTAATATTTATAAATACTATCAACTAATAACATTTGATGCATATCTTATACCCTAAATATCATAATCCTAATATATAAACATTCAACAATTGAAATTATTTAGATGCCTAATTCCACTCAAACATTTGTGCATAAAATCCATAAGAATTATAATGAGAAATTACTTATCATATTCTTTCGAGAATATAAAATTTCATTATATTAGTAATTTTACCTAATCAGCCCCATTCTTTATCAAAATAAACTTGAGGGTTCAAAGTGCATTAAATACAAACTAAATGATTGAGGTTTTTTTATTGCTCAAATGCTCAATTCCATAGCTCATTCTTTAGAACTCGAAAACAAAACATTTCTACATTGTCTATTTTTTTTATAACAAAGGATACCAATTTACTACTTCCTCAAGTTAATCCCTATTGATAAACAATAGGGAGGCTAGGAAAATTTTTAAAGTGGGAATTGATTCTTTTCATCTCCTCCATGGCACTTGATATACACTTAGGAAGTCTTCTTTCATGCTTTACCTTTTTCCTTGATATTGCTTTGCCAATAATGATTTCATTCCCCACCTTTAAGATCAAGGAAAAAAGTATTGGCCTCTTGGAAAGGAAGATAGACGTATAGTAGTTCAAGCATAAAATAAGAGAAAATCTCTTGATGATATATTGCCCATGACCTTGATAACTCTAATGGTTATAAAATGATATTAAAAATACATGTGTGATTAAAAAAGGAGTTAAGTGATTCCTTTCAATTTTTTGACATCAAAGTTGTCAACATCCTTTCAATATGAATGAGAGAAGCCATCATTATTATTTTGTAAGCATTTAAAAAGGTGGTCCCTTCTATTGGGTTAAGAAAGAGATTAAGTCTACTCTAACAAGTGCATATAATTTGATGAGTTAGAATACTTACATCTTTTTGTACCTTTTTTCTTGTTATTTGTTTCATCTGATGGAAGAGCGAACCTTCTATCTTTTCGGGGATCAATTAATGCAACCCATTTTGACTAATCTAATTATAAGAATCAATTCTCTTTAGTCTTTAGGAATTTAAGCTCTCAAGTCAATAAATTCTATTTGAAAGAAGGCCCCATTCATTATCAAGTATGCAAACTTTGCGGTATAGAGAGATATAGAGTAATTGCTAGTCACTATGGGATACTTATAAGAGACGAATCTCTAATTGATACCATGTTGTACTAATTAGGAGTGGATTTATTTTTTTTATGAATGGGTATTTTAAGATAATATACTAATGTAAACAAAAGCCTTAAAATATTTAAATAATAAATTAATAATTACATTATAAAATAATGGTATGTAATGCATTACATTGTGCATTAGCACTAGATGAATATTGCAATCTCCGAGCTTTGAATCATAAAAAATATATATGAAGATACTATCAAGAAGAAGAGTTATTATATAAATAAGCTAATCCATAAATATAAATTATTTCATATGTTAGCTAATGAAATATGTTTACTCGTTTTCTTAAAGCTCATTAATAATTGCATTCTTTTAAAAGAGTCTTACAAAACAAGATTTGATCTAAGGTTTTGTGTAGGTTTTAAATAAAATAAAATGTGAAAGTGATTATCATAAGCAATGTTAATATTTATTTGCTTATTAGATGTACTTTGATTTTTTTTTATTTTTTTTGCTACCCAAAATATTTCTCTTTCTTTTTCTATTTTTTGGACTATTATAATAAATGTGTTTGAAGGCATACTATTATGGGTCATAATCTAGATATGAAGAATAGTTATTATAAATCATCTTAATTAGAATAATTTAGAATAATTGCTCTAATGTGCTTTTCATTTTCAATTTATTAATTTATAGCATTTTAATTTTCCTCTCATCTTTTTTTTTGTTTTAATGATGTAATATAAAAAATTATAATTTCAATTTCTCGGTAATGCCAAGGGAAATTTAATCACTAAGCATTTGCAAATTTCATTGTAACTTTGGCAATGAGAGATCAAAGAGCTAAATCTTACAAAATGTTTATGGAAGCATTAATTGAACTCAAGGGTAAATCATTCCCTTCTGTGGTTACCTCTGATAGCAATGGTATTCATGAAGGAAAATGGCATTACAAGCTTTTTCTCTTTCTTTATCTTGGTCTCACCTTAGTTAGATAAGTACATCCTCTCAACCAATCTAAACATGGATTACAAGGACAATATTTATGAAATTTGTTTTAGTTTTCATAATTTTCTTTATTCTAAACAATAATAAGCTTTCACAACAACTTCAAATTTTATTTTTATACCATATAACTTCTTTCTCATCCTCTCCCAATGAAAAACATATCAACATCTGTTGTGCATCCTCAAAACACCCATATAGTAAAATCATATGAAATCCTCATCACCACTTCCTAAAAGCTCCTTATTGCTAACATTAAAATTGTTATTCAAATCCAACTTACATTAGTTAACCTTTCTAATTAAAAATCTCAACTAATAAAACTATATTGTGCTAATGGTTTACAAAGTTATATAGTTGGATGCACATTTCCTCCAGCTACTATTATCCTCGCTTAAAATATTAAGATTGTCCCAAATCTGTAGTATTAACTTTGGGTTTTAATCAATCAAAATCTAACATCAACTCTCTATTCCACTAGCTCACCATCCAATCTTTCATATGTTCTTAATTTGGAATCTTGTGCTAAAATTTGACTCAATCTTCAACGCAGATTACAATCCACCAATATTGCATGTATCATTCAACTAACATCAACTACACTCTAAGTATTCATGTTTCATTCAACACAAGTGTGAACTTAATCACATTTCCTTGGGAACTCAAACTATAACTAAATAACTTCGACACCTTGAAGCTAAAGCTAATGCCATTGTTACATCAAAAACTTCCCTAGAAAGCAATGAATTTATTCTATGCACTATTAATAGATTTTCTCTAAGTTATCAAGCCATTAAAATTTCCAATGATACAAGTTTACATCTAATCAATCTTGATGATATGTACTCTTTACTCTGTAGTAAGGAAAAAAAGCAATCAAGTGAAGTAGCTCATGCTACCCCATGCACCACACTCAAAATTATTATCGTATGATATATGCTAGGAAAAGATGAAATATATGTTGTAGACCATAATTTAATTCAACTTATGGTCGAACTTTCAAACATAAGTAGATGAAAAAATTATCCTAAAGCAATTATCAACTATCAATCCAATAAAAAAAAAATTGGTCACACTATCGATCATTATTGGCACTGCACAAATATTTTATACAATTCTCTATTTTAGTATTCAAAGGCATTATAGCCGGCACATCCCAATAAAGCATGGATTAGTCACTTGAATCAGGTAGAATTTCACACTTAATAGCTGACAACAATCAACTCTCTTATTCCTAGGCATATATAAGATTAAATAATTGATAGTTGTCATATTATAATAATTATAAATACTAAGAATGAAATTATTCCTACATCACAGCATAAGTTATAGGTCTCTTCTCTTTATCATGTTCCAAATCTATCCCATTACATGCTTTCAATCCATGAAATAGCTACATAAAACTAGTATTTTATTTTGTTTGATGCTTATGGCTATCATAAAGATGATCAAAGAACCAATTGCATGCTTCTTCTTCGATCCAATCATAATGGTTTATATCTTCTCCATCCTTCACCTAAGACCCCACAAAATTCTATTACCTCTACTTGTTAGCAATCCATACACTGCAACTATGTTTAAATTGTTCATAAATTCTAGCTCCCATGAAAAATAATATCTCTTCTTCCTTTAATAAATGTAAGGTGGCTAAAAGTATATTTACCTTTCATTTCTATCAGAAGCATTAGTTAGTTATATGTTATTCACATTGATGTATGAGATCATTATCTTACAATTTCTAATCAAGATATTAAATAGTAAATCTCTTTTATCAATTATTCATCATGTTATTGTTGAGTGTTTCCAATGCAATGTAAATTGGAAGCTCTCTATTGCTTCCATTAATTTCAGAACTCTTGCCAAAAAGTTACTCACAAATCAACTTGAAACATTATGATTGAATGATGGAAGAGAATTTTGCAATAGTCTATTTCAAACATCACTAGAAAATTTTGGTACAATTCATCAACGCTTGAGTCCTTAAAAAATTGAGCATAATGGTATTGCCACACATAAACATAATCATATTTTTGAGAGCATGCAAACTCTACTTATTGAGATCTAATCACCACCTCAATCCTAGGTTGATGCACTTCTAACAACCATCTATCTAATAAATTAGTTGCCTTCTTAAACCACCAACGATATTTCCCTCTACACCTTTCTCCATAATAAACAACCAAATTACACCTTGCTTCACCCTTTTATTTGCCTTCTTTCCATGGATAAAACCATATTATCTAACAATTTTGCTCCCATATCAGCCACTTGTTTCTTTCCTGGCCATACACCTAATTTTGAAGGTTAAAGGTGTTGTAATCCTATGAATGGAAATGTATCATATCAAGCAATATCATATTTCATGAACAAACATTTCCTTACAAGTGCTCCTATATATTCACTCTTCCTTAAATTTTGTGATGGCCCCCACTTAATTATTTATATAAATCCAACTTAAATTCGATAATTTATCTTCTAAAAAATCTCTGCTACTTAAACTATTTAGAGCTAATGATTTTCAAGAATAATTAGATGGATACATATTACCTCTAGCTATTATTTTACTCATTTAAAATGGTGTGAATGTCCAAAATTTGTATTATCAATTTTTGGTTTTAATAAATCAAAATCTAACATCAACTCTCTATTACATTATAACACTATCCATTCTTTTATATGTTCTTAATTAGGATACTCTTAGTTTGAAATTTGGCTCATTCTTGAATGTCAATTACAATCCATAAATCATGCACATTTCATTCAACTCTATAACAAACTTCATCATTTTTTATTGTGAACTCAACCTATGACTAAAGAACTTTTAACCAAAGGCTGAAATGTATATTTTGTTATTTAAATAGTGAAGTGTGACAGACATTAAATTTATTAATGTAATAATTTTTCCTCATTTCAATAGAAAGGCTAGTTTCGCCCCTGAACATCATTATTACCACCACCACCACCAATAACAATAACAACAACAACAACAACAACAACAACAACAACAACAACAACAACAACAACAACAACAACAACAACAACAACAACAACAACAACAACAACAACAACAACAACAACAACAATAATAATAATAATAATAATAATAATAACAATAATAATAATAATTGATGTCTCCTAGAAAATTCGTGGCAGTAGAGTAACAAATTATCGTCTTAGTGTGGTACGAAGTTTCAGGACACACTGAGAAAAGAGAAAGCAACTAATAATGACACCAGAAGTTTTTACGTGGAAAACCCGAAAAGTGAAAAATCACAGGGCCTGAACTAGCTGAAAAGTTTCATTATAGAAAAATGATTACAGTTACAATCACTTCTCCCACAGGCGAGAAAGGGTTACTATGTTTCCCAAGTTATAACGTCGACTGACGACGGCTAATAGCAATTGGCAGCGTCGACGACGATTGACAATAGTTGATAGCGATAAAAGTGGTGCTGGACTTCAATGTCTTCTCAAAGTTTTGATTTCTTTCTCAAGCCTCAAGCTCACCTCTCCCCCTCATGAGAGAGGTGGGGCTCTATTTATAGAGTTCTAGGTAACCTTAATACAACAATATGAACCACTTTCGTCGGATGCTCAGTGGGCTTACTTTTAAAAGCGGTTTAATGGCCTGATTTGGGTTTGATTTGGTTCAGATTGGACCACTTTTGGCAACATTGGGTTCTTCTTGTAGAGCCGATCAGCTTGACTAGTTTGCTAAAATTGGAGTTTTGGATGACTTTTTATTGAAGCTTTAATATCTCTTGCTCAAAAAGTCGCATCGAGATCTGTATCATATCTCGAGATTCGTGTCGGATGACAGAGATTTGTTGGAGGTATATCAATAATAATGTAAGTTACAAACAATAACAAATGAAGCCTTAGGTTAAAATCCTAACAAGTCAAACCCTAAATATATGATCAGAATTGCAGAATTAACTTTCTTGACGTCACCCATCCAGCCGGCCCTCAATTGAGATATTGATAGAAACAAAATATTAAAAAATTGCAAAGAGAATAGAATTTTGAACCATGCAATATTTCCATTTGGAGCTTTCCATATAACTCACATCAAAAGCATACAAGGCTTCTCTAAAAGCCAGTTTAAGTGCCAATAAACTTCGAAGCTAATAAGCTGGATTCAACCCTTTTGTTAATAACATTAACATCTGTTCTTGCAAACATAAAACATAATTATAATAATTATAAAAAAATAGAGTCCAATGGAACTTTATGGCCAAACCAGTCATTTTTGTTGCGTTAAGTACGAGAGAATGCGCATGAAGAAAATAAAAAATTTCTAATTTAAGCTTTGACATATAAAATTTGTATAAAAATACTATAATATAATTATATATTAGATAACACATATTAACCCATATTTATATGTAGGGCTGTCAAAAAAGCTCGTTGTTCGCGAACAGTTCGTGTTCGGTTCGTTAATAAGTTCGTGTTTGATTCGTTCGATAAGTAAACGAGATGAATGTGAACAAATTTTTTTTCGTTCGGTTAGTTAAACGAACCAAACACGAACAATGATGCGTTCGTTTGTGTTTGAATCGTTATTGTTCGAAATATAAAATAAATTAAAATAATTATGTATAAAAAATTTATGATATTTTAAAAATTTAAATTTTATAAATTATAATATTTAATAAATTAATACTAATAATATATTAATATATTATATTACTAATATATTAATATAGATATATTTATATAATACAATTTATATACTAATATTATGGATGTCAAACTGGTTTGTCGTTTGCGAGGTTCGTGTTCGGCTCGTGCGTGAAGAAACGAACACGAACAATGACTTCACGAACAATTTTGAACATGAGCTTATTTCAAATAAACTAAATTTCAAACGAACCAAACACGATCACAAGCTTTGTTCGTTGGTGCTCGGTTCATTTATACCC